GTTGGATTAATTGATGAGGAAACTGCATAGACCAATGCAGACAATTGGTTAGTCTTAAAGCTAGAGATCATACACCAAGAACAAACCAGGTTTCTAGTTCCAAAAAGGTTAAGCCCTTGACACCTAAATTGAGATGTTAGAAACAGAGGATGATAAAGCTGATCGTATTCTTTGATTCTCGGATGTCATATACTTCATTCTAAAGCTAAAGCTAAATTTCTCAAGAGTATTATTATTATTATGAGGCATGCTATTTTACTCCCCAAGTCATTTGTCACTTGCTCAATTATTCCTGTAAACGACACATGAAAATCTCCCATTACAGGGTGTCATATAAACGCTCCAGAGGTTTGCAATGGGATTGAAGACAGGACTGTTGCTTGGCCAGTCAATAACTTTTCCTGAACACCTTGGTTTTAATACTATGGAAAATAACGCGGCGACGCTACTAAATCCAATTATATGATTGGTTACTATTTGATAATCGCAAAAATACAATACAGTAATATAAATTACAAATCTTCTTCAAATTTCGTACGCGTCTCTTCAATTAGCATAGTACCATAATCCACTCGATTCAGCCGCCTTACTATATGCTTGGAAACACCACACCCCCCGCAATACCTACACCCGATTCTCTTTCCGAGACCGATCGCATATTACGAGCTGTCTCATCTTTGGTAAAGCAGTTCGTACGTGATAATGCTGACAAAAGTAGGAAAGGGAAGGGAAGGGAAGAGGAAGGGAAGGAAGAACTAGGAGTTAAGCAGCAACGAACGTTTGAGTACTGTATGAGAATACTTGGAAGGTGAGTTTGGAAGAGCGAAGTGAAGAGAAGTTGGGAACGAAGAACAGAATTGTTGGAGATTGTGATTGGTGTTGGGTACCTTTGGCTGCACGGATTATGATAATTTTAATGTTTGTAATAATCCATAGAGTTGATAATGGATTTGTTTGTTGATAGTCGAATGACTCCCTCTGTGATAAGCGATGAGGCACATATCTCTGATCTAATTACGAAGAAGTGTAAGTTCATTACGCTGAATTGATACTAGAGATATCCAAGAAGGATTAATTATATTTAATTTTCTATGTCATAATTGAAGTGATGCGGGAGAACAAATCCTCAACGAAAGCATTACGGTTCGCTACTTTGTTTAATAAGCTGCAAGCTCAGGTGAAGAGTCGCTAGCATTCGAAGCAACAGATTGCAGTACTTAAAACAATTACTAACCTTACGTTAAATTAGACGATATTAAAACGAAAATGGGCTGTTCTTTACTTTCTAATGTCGGTCAGCGAACAATCAAACGACGGAGATGCATCAAAATTAGCAACTACTGTACTGTTTTATGATAACAATTTGCATTTTATCGTAATGCTTATCAACGATCTTGCTATTAAGGTCATTATTTATTACCCTTCATCTTCATCATATTCCGTAATGTCACAATCACGTCTTCCACCAGTTATTCGATCAGACGTTCTCCCATCGGGGTCTTGAATCTATCTCACACGAGACGAGTAAAGTCACAAAGACACCAAATACGTTCATATCAAATGTGAATCCAACCTCTATTCAGGAGACAATAAACGAGCCTGTCTATATGCAAGAAGATGAACAGTTACCACCCAGAGTGGTTTTACAAAAGAAAGTTGCCGAAACAGAGAACAGTACGTTTGGGTGGATATACGTTATTTTGTTATTTAGGGACGAGGGCGTAATAGTAGATTTACAAGAATTAATACTAAAACGTTACTGAATGTACAATCTTGCTGTTATAGCCATGTATGAGATATCGGAGGCTCTCCTTTTACGCGACGTTGTATTCGTATTTCAAGGCATTGATGGACAATACATAAAGTTTGATAAGACGACAGGGTCATATTTGGTCGATTCGAAGGTTTGATACTATTTTATCAGAATTTAATTTAACAGAAGCATCTATATATCTAATGATACAAGTGTCTTGTCTGTTAGATTGGCGTTCAACGATCAACTCGAGAGTTAATATCAAGACTCTCGGAGATGGGTTGTCTTTACCGGAAAGTTCATGCCTTTGTAAACGACAGTATTGATGACATATCAATTGGCCTTGTTGGGCAGGTAAGACAATGCTAATCATGATATGCATAAGCAAGGAATTTTCTTGCATCTTTTTTATCGTATTGTTTTCACTTTTGTTCACACACACTCTATATTCATATTCTGAAACAGGCCTTTTGTTCCGCATTACAACGTGAATTGACAGAATATTACAAACTAATGGCTATTCTTGAATCACAAATTACCAAAGAAACCGACCCTAATCTGTCCACTCAATCTACTCCACACTCTTTGTCCTTAAAACGAATGCTTGTTTCAATAAACGAATCGGCAGAAAAATTAAGATTGATGGCCGTGTTGGTTAATGGATGTGCTAGGCAGAAGGGAGGCGCGTTGGTGTCATATATTTACATGCATACAAATCACGGAGATCCGTTTAGGCACGAGTTTGTGGAGCATATTCTAGAAGAGGTTGGTTAATATATGAGGTTGCCTAGATACTGCAAAACCAACGAATTGTTTGGTACCCTTACTTTCTATGGTCTTGTTTGTTGTCGGGTTCGATTAGGTATCAAAACCCTTCTACGAAATGCTCCAAAGCTGGATATATGAGGGCGAATTAGAAGATCCGTTTGAGGAGTTCTTTGTTGGCTGTGATCCGACCGTAGAAGAGGAAGATTTATGGCAGCACAAATACTTTATGCGTACAGATATGCAACCTTCGTTCATTAGTGCATTATTGGCAAAGAAGGTTTGTTACGTGTAGAAGCTGTCAAGACTCAATAGAATGAGAAAATTGATCAAACTTTTCTTTTTTAAAGATTTTTTCCATTGGCAAATCATTAAATTTCATAAGATACAGCTGCCATGATAATGACTGGGTTACTGCAAAAGGAAAAGGCACAAAATCTGGTATATATGTGATTGTGTGAACACTGTTAAACTACCATAATCGTGTATTATATATTAAAAAGCCTCGTTTTTAACAAGTTCTGAAATATGGCGACGTCATTGCTCTTGAACACTCGATCGATGCAACGTATACAAAAACGAGCAAACGATTATTGGACATTTTATTTACAAAGTATAAACTAATGGAACATCTTACTGCATTGAAGCGGTATCTGCTTCTTGGACAGGGAGACTTTGTGCAGTATCTTATGGATCAATTAGGGTATAAACCTTGAGAATATATATTTATGTGGATTACATGTCTGTTGATGGTTAGAACTGGGTAACTAACAACTAACCCGATATATTATTAGATCCGGTCTCTCGAAACCGGCAAATACGCTACATCGTCACAATCTGACTGGTACACTAGAAGCTGCAATCCGTGCATCTAATGCCCAGTATGACGATCAAGACATTCTCCAACGCTTAGATGTTCGTCTTGCCAATGTACGTTTACTTCCTTTTTTTTTCGTACTGGGGCTTCAATTCTTCGCACATTCATATCTTTTGCCCGAACCTCCTAATCGCAGATTTCTGCAGGTGACGTTGGCTGGGATGTGTTCTCCCTTGATTATCACGTCGACTCGCCCATAAACACCATATTTACTCCACCGACAATGATCCAATACACTGAATTATTCCGCTTTCTCTGGCGCTTAAAACGGGTCGAACACGACCTTTCCGCTGCGTGGCGTCGTCAAATGACAAGTGCACGTACTCTGGCGCAGATACCAGAGATAGAAAAGGATATTAACAACAGTCGTCTTGTATGTAGTGAGATGATACATTTCGTGTATCAATTACAGTATTACCTGATATTTGAAGTGGTCGGATGTTCTTGGGACGTGCTAGAGACTGATATCAGCAAAAAGAGTGGAGATTTGGACTCTCTCATCGAGATACATAATAGATATCTAAACGATATCACTACGAAGGGATTTTTGAGGACTTCAGATAGTCAGGTAAATGACCCTAAATGCTATATAGACGTTGCGTGAACTATGATGTTTCATTTAGTCGCCTTGCATTCTACAAATTTGATAGGATTATTTACCAAGTGTATTGAAGATAATTGGATTCATATTACAATACAAGAACATTCTGGTAGGGATTGTTGCCAATATTTACCATGCGACTCATCTAGGCTCTTTGCAGATTGTAATTGATTTTTGTAACTTTTAGGATGAACTATATAACTTTGTAGTTAAAGAGTTAATGCGTAGAGAGCATTCGAACATTCAAGCGTCGAGAAAGGTAAGTTTTGCTGACGACGCTTCATGTAAGTTGCTTATGTGGATGACGTTTATCTAACCCTTAATTCGCAAACATAGGGAAAGCCCGTAGAAGATAGGAGAAACAAGTCGCTCGATAAAGAAGCACGAGAAGCATTCTTGCCTATTCAAAGGAAACTTGGCGAGGTTGCCAGCAACTTCAAGGTTAAGTATACTTGCGCGTAATACAATTCGGGAGTTCGATTACTGAGATACGCGTGTATTTATTTTTTAGGGGGAATTAGTAAACCTTCTAACAGAACTTGAACATCATAAAGACACTGATTTCAGATTCCTCAGCGTTCGACTTGATTTCAACGAATTTTATCATAATTACGCAAAAAAAGTATAAATACGATCTGTCACAGTGCTGGTGGATAGTCAATAAAGACTCGGTTATCATCGAAATTAGAGCAGTGTTTTTATTATATACCAATAAATTCATTTCTAATCAGTCCAAATCATTGATAAGAAAAAGACTTAACGTCTGCTTGGTGGGGGACGCCACTTTCCTCTTCCTTTTTGACGGCGTCCAAATTCTTCCTGTACATAAACCACTGAATCATCATTCTAGAGACTGACTATAAATCCGAATCCGAATCAGTATCCGTTCTCTTTCATGATCCCTAGTGGGTTCGACTTCGTTAAGAAAGCTCTCAGAGGTTTTATCGTTCATGACACTCCATAATACCCAGCCTGAAATCTTTTTACGTTTTTTTCTGATTCTGTTATATTGTCCTTCGTACAATCGCCATATAAAAGTAAAATTCTATTCTTAATATTATCCCTTTTATAGGATGTTCGATAGTCTCTATAGCCTCTTCCTCATCAACCATTACATTGATTATCTTATCAGACCAGAGTGAAGATTTAAATCCGCCATACTTTTTCTGAACACTCTCACTCATATGTTCAAGGAGAGTTTCTATCTTCAAACCAATTTCTGCTTTGGACATGTTTGCATCATTTTCTTGCGCGATTGCTTCTTGTTTGGTAATTGGTATTGGCCGAAATAAAGAAGCTTGGTTATTATTGTGAAAAACTTCAATAATATATTCCTGCCGAGCTTTGCGTGGATGAGTAACCGTGTAATAGTTATCCCCACATTTGAAAACATTCCGACTAGGGAAGGTGGTGGATATTTTCCATCGAAGCTTATTGCAGAGGAAAAACACATTTTCTGATTTAGAGCTGAGCTGAGAGCTTTGCCAGACGTAATCCCAACTTCGTCCGCAACACTTTACTATTTCCGATTTCTTCGCAAATATATAGTATTTTTCAATCTTTGCTCGATTGTATGCTTTTTGCACCTTTTCCAATTTCTCCTTTGTCTTGCTCATACCGTGCCACGCGTTACTGCAGCGTGGAATCCGCTTGCTTCTCAATTGTTTTGGCGAACGCGGCTTGGAATCGTGAGCATGTTCTGTTCTGAGACGAAAAGGAAGGTCTATTATGTTGTGAGTTTTTAAGCAAAAGTGAAGACTGATATTCCTCGCACTCGTCTTTGTCACTAAAATCGGGAGCATAGAACATACTCCATTGTAAAAAACTTTCTAAACACCATGGAGCAAAGTCTTAAGACACGTGAGTTGAGAAAAAAGCACTCTGGACGCGTACGACACGTGTTGATCCTCAATTCCGCAACAAGTTCAAAATCAATCGCATATTTAGCCAGTTCAAACTATCATTTATCGCTCTAACACCATAATAATAATATGCTTTCCGCAATCTGTTCGGTAATATATCGATCCTCAGCCGTTGTTTGGTTAAATAGCGATATACTGACCTAGCAATCTCTAGAAAATTGAGGTAAGGTTTTCGACTGGTTTCGATTGACACTTGTTAAAGATAGTAATAGTATTGATTTTGTATTAGATTTACAAATGGCCGGAATCTACAAGCTTATCGTGCTGGTGGCCATCCTGCCCTTACAGTCAGACGGGTTTACTAAGGGTTGACATTTTTAGTCGCTGGATATTCACGTTTTCTTTGCTCTCTAGTAGATATAGATTGTTGTTGCTCGGCATACATTGTCGTCTGACTATTTGATGGATCACGATTTTATCTGTGGATGTCCTTACAATTAAGAAATTTTTTTTGCGTTGGCAGGGCATAATGTTTAGTATCTTCACCATCTTACTCGATCTTTAATTTAAGCCTTTCTGCGATCGAGAGACAGAAAAAGGGATGGAAGGCAGATATTTATTAAATCTATCCAATTGAGAATTATCGAGTATCGTTACATCTTCTAATCGCGTAGTTCTCGTATTTACGTAATTATGCGAATTTCAACAGACTGGCTTCGCAATAGTGACTCTTGAGCGTGAAACCGTTCAAGGCAAATAAAGAACAGCAGCATTTCTGAGAATGTGGCCGCTGTAGGATCGTAATTGGTGGTAGCCGCAATATTACCAGGAATATAGTCAAGCAGTCGGGAACAATACAACTTTTGTTGAAAATTTGCTTATAAACTATATAAAGGTTTTTTCTACAAGTTCAATAGTAATCGGTTCTCAAAATCATCTTTGCATCTTCGTTATTGTCGTTATCAGCACCCTTTCAAGTGCCGTTATCATCATAACCTTCCCTCCGGGATGCTCGTAGCACCCTGCTATTTATTGCATGAAAGCATTAACACGATAGGCTTTTTTCACCATGATAATAACACGTCGACTAACAATTTGTACCAACCATCATCTTTTCCAAATCCACATCAGCGTGCCAAAAGCACTGGCTGCCTAGTATCAGTTGCAATCTTATCGACATTGCATGATCATCTGTTTTCTCTCCATCATCTCCGCGACATCAGCCCTCGTGCGCACTGGATTCGATGATCGTAAACACAGAGGGTCGGTTGTGGAGATGTGGCAATGGAAATGGAAATAAGGAATCCAAGCTGAATATAATATTTTTCTGATATTGCTCGTCCACCTTTTCAGTATCGCTTCATGCTCACGTGTTCTGTCGGTGAAAAACCATGCGGTGTAGTGACGAAATTTATTGTTGCGCGAGACATATTCAATAGGATATACTTGGTAGATGATAACAATTAGGTAACGCGTTCAGCGCACGTGTGCAGACATACACCCGCAGATTAACTATCGTTTTATTTACATAACTACCTAAAGTTCTTATAAAAGACATCGACTTCAATACCAAAAACGAACTACAACACCACAAGGAGCAAATTACACCAACCATCATACGCCGGCACTCGATCCAATCCGCATTTTATTCATCTACGCCTGTTAGATCGCCAATTGATTTCGATTGTATACGCCACTTCTATGGATCTTCGATATCTCTCTGATACCATCTTCAATCTCATTCACTGTCTGTTCCCATTTCTTGTATTGCTTCCTTTCGATCCAATTTAAGTTGTTTTCTAAAATCCCGATAACAGTTCAAACACAAGTGGTGAAGCATCTTCAACTGCCCACAAATGGGACACATTGCAAAATTCGATTTATCTTTTAATTGCTTATTAGCAGACCGCATGCGTTTTTTTGAGTGTGACGTCTTCTTTTTTGGTGCGGCCAGAAGGAATGGACCGAGAAGTTGTGCAAGTGAAAGAGGTAGGCGAGGGAATGGGTTGGTTAGACAGGGAAGTGGATGCGTGAGAGAGCTAGGGAGAAAAGGGAGAGAAGCGACTAGAGCGGACTTGGTTGAGGAAGGAGAGAAATAGGAAAACGGCGGCCGAAAAGGGTGAAGGAAGCGTAGCATTCCCATGTATGCAGACTGTGGCGACGAGAATTCATTACTCACTGATAAAAAAAAACGTATCTATGATTGGTCTATGATTGGTCATAATTTTCTGCTAACACTATTGGACGACATTCAACACGTGCTTGTAATTGTCATAGATACGTTATTTGCAACAAATCTATTCACAAATTAAAAGCTAGTTATATCGCTCTTTGCTTAACACGCACTCTCTTCAGATCTGTCAGATAAGGTTTTGATCCAGTTGGCGCTGCTTGAAACACTTGCCTACGAAATATTATAATCCATTCATACAAATTATAAATGTCGGCTGAGATTTCTATTTAAAGCTTCACACAGTCTACTAATAGAGCTACGATTTATATTAGCAAGCATACATCAAATATTAAATTAATCGATCCAGTTATTATTAATCAATTCTCTACGAGTTTAAAAGATTCTATTAGTTCCTGGTTCCTAACCTATTACAATGTCGAATTAAAATATGTGCATGATGAAAAAGTTGAATTATAACATCAAAAAAAATATGTACACATGACTCCGACCCCGACCCCGACCCCGACCCCGACCCCCTTCCCTCCCAAAAAAAAGTCTTGCAAAAGATTACACAGTCCTATCGTCCTCCCATATATCTCACAGATTACAGGCCTATTTCCATTTCCTCCATCTCAGCATTTTCATTCACGCTAGATTCTAAGTCCTTCTCTCCCCTGCACCCACTAATTCCGTAGCTTCACCATCAAAATGTACGCTTTGTCTTGCTTTCCCAAAAATGTTCTTTATTGAACCAAATCGTCGTTTAAAATATCTCTCGTCCACGATATCGAGTCGATCGAGAACTTTATTGAATCCATATGAATGGGTTGACGCTGTAGCCGTAGGAAGAGGGTAAGATATTGTGGGAGAATATTTGTATATTTGGGCTACTGGAAGAGGCGAAGGCTCTTGTAGGAACTGAGACGAGCTGGCCAAGTCGACTCCAAGAAAGGTCGATTGCGAATGTAGAAATGTAGACGGTGAAATAATTGCCTGACGTGTAGAATTTTCAGAGAATGTTTGAGATGGAACAGCAATCGATGTCCGATGAGGTGGAAAATATGATAGCTGGGCAGCAGGAAGGATTTGAATTTCAGCTCTTGTCATTAGCGAAGTATTCCCACCATCCATCTTACTATCATCGCGCATTCCATTCTCGTTGCCATATGGCATCTCTCTCCCTTCATCAATCCATGTAGAAGCCGGTGCTGAAATCTCTCTTTCGTGTTTTCTCCACGATGACCACTCGCTCAGTTCTCCTTCTCCGCCGACTTCTGAACCCAAACGTGGTGTCGAAGGCGAAGATGAAACGGACGATGTCGACGGACGAGATAAATCAGAGACGGACAATCGGGGTTTCAGGATGGTAATCGAAGAGTCGTCATTGTATATGACTGATGAAGTGGAGAGGGCCGAACAAGAGTCGAGTGGAATGTAGAGATGTTTTCGGGTGTGAATTGAGTCAGAGGTCCAGAGTTTGTTGGCCCGTTTCAGAGTTTGGAGCTATACCGAAACGAAATAGAGCACGACAAAGACAAATAACGATAAAGGTTGAATTTTAAAAGAGTCATGATAGATATAATCTCGCAAATGCAAAAAAGAGTTGAAAATACTCTACTAACCTCTATACCATAGAATAAAGCAACCCCAGCCAAAGTATCGTTTGGTTTGACAACATGGACAATAACCGCTTCCGTATTTTCCTCTTTTGTCTCTTGATCGTTATTCTCTTCTTGACCACAGGATACATTATCTCTGGTATCTCTTCCCATAACTCCGCCATCCCTTCCGGTAATCCAAGCATGAATGTTTGACAGGCTCCTTCTCCTCGTTAACGATCCGTTCCCTCCTTTGCCTCCTATTCCACCTTTACTCTCTCCCATTTTCTTTCGTCCTCCTATAATACCCAAACTTCTAAACGGTGCCTTTCCCCATGAATCTGAATTATTGGAAAAATACTGAGAATACTTGTGTGTCGTTAGGCAGTGCAAGTCGTCTAAGGCATGATCGAGAGGATGAGAAAACGCAGGTTCGCGTGGGAGTCTATGGATGGTAGTATTAGCCGAGGGATGCAAAATGACTGTTGACGAAGTTTGAGAGGAGTTTGATTTTGTTGTTAGAGATGCGGAAAGAGAAGAAAGATTGTTGGGAGATTGTGTGTTTATCCTTGATTCTGATCTTGAGTGAGTAATAAAGTCATTCGTATTTGTAGGGCGTGCTTCTGAAGGTCGCTGGGAAGCGATTTCTGACCAGGCATTAATTTCGTTTTTAACAATGTTCTCCATCTATGTAATATTCTCGTTTTGTAGTTGAAGTCTCTTTAAATGCTCTCTGTAAATAAACAGTATAAACATGTGTTTTGTTTGAATACGTATTATGTTCTCAGGTTATTGTCGTGCTTAAATGCAAATGATCTAGTACTAGGGAAAAGGTTAAATTCGGAAAATGCAATAATACAGACAAAGTTGACGTTTGATGTGACACTAGTTTCAGGCCGGCATTATCTGGAACAGAAGGTTAAAATTGCAATAATAATGGGGCTGACGTATCGATATATAATAGTAATAGGGGGTTAAGTTCTCACACAATAATAAATACTTCCCCAAATAAGGTAGATAAAGTAAAAAGAAAATGCCAACAATGGTTCTGTTTATTTGCTGCACACTAGTGTCAATAAATAGGTAAGTGCCGAAGCGATGATAATGCTGTAATGACATAACCCTCTGCAAAATACTTATACCATGACGATGTCTTTTTTATTTTGTTCAGGTCTCCTCATTCGGAATAGCAAATCTAATGGTAATATTGATACTAATATTAGATATTAATATCACTAGATTGCCAGAGTAATAGCGGATATTCGATTTTTAGGCTTTTTACTTGTCTACTGAATCCCCCGAATTTTGCAAATTATTTTTTTTCTTCCCTTGAATCAATTATCTTGCGAGTAATTCTCCCTACAAACCGACTAGTCACTTCCTGCTTGTGAACGTTGCAACAGCTATTTTTCTTAATGAAGATATTTGCGTAACGCTTGTTTAAATTGAGACAATTAATTACCCTGTATTCATATTAAGTAAATAAGGATCAATCGTGTGATTATGACTCGATCAGTTATCCGCAACTGCTTACACAACAATTACGTGTGACTGGCCCGAAAGAATGGTTTACCTCTCGCTCGCGTTATAAATAAAAGCATGCTCAAAACAATACTACACAACAGATTTAACACAATCATGCAGATTTAATAATATGGTTCCACATTGCATTGCTCCCACGGTTTCCTCTGTTGCAAATAGAATCATTATCTTAATTTCGGGGCTTAAGCTGCACGTGGAATTAACAATCGCAATTGTAACCATTAATAATGTTACAATATGCAAACTTTATTTATAGTTACTCGACTTTGCTTTTTTATCACAATCATAATCAACGGCCTAAAGCATTAACATGTTTTACATAGCTTTTTAGGCTTTCATTGCCATCCTGCATAAGTTATAATCAATGAAACCATTTTTAAAATGCGTGAATAATGGCATTGTGACCTTTATTAGACGCAACTACGGTGGACCTCTAAAGCTGCAACGCGTGAGCAATAGTTAATTATTTTGGGGGATGGTGAGATGGAACAAAAAAAAAGAAAGGAACATTGTTTATTTGTTTTGATAAAAATTTAATATGACCAGAACTGGGTAGGGATAATCTCGCTTGTATTTCAAGAAATTAGCTTCATTCACGCTCCCGCGCTTTTTTCCCAGTAGATAATAAATATCATCTTGTAATATTAGCAGGGTGAATTTTTCCTGATTTCAATAATTTTCTCTACAAACATTTAATCCAGTAAGCTGATGGCTTTTACTGTAAATTTTTATATAGTAACATAGTAATGGGTTTTAGATAACCTGTGCAATTCTCGACATTTGTTGGTAAGCCTAGTGTAAACCTGATCTTACTCTCGTAAGATTGAATTAATTCTACACTTCACTGTCTTTTGAAATTATTAACCATAATTCTTCACTTAATATTAAGGGCTTAATTGCTTGACAAGATAAAGAACTTCGTAATTGATGATGTAAAAACCATATCACATATATCGTTTATTTGCAGAGCAAAGCCACTTGTGTGGCCTCCTTCATCAGCTGTATAGTATTCTTCATCGGAACTTAGATGCGAAAGCATCCTTGTGGAGCGAGTCTCACACTGCTCTGCTGTACGGCGACGTCTCATTTTAATTATATCTTTTTATGTTTTCAATTAACGTCAAATATGCGGACATGTGCGGACATGTTTGTCACTTGTTTCTCTAGTTAAAGTTTTAACTGGAGCAGGAACCAGTGACACTTTTTCTATGCGTTTTGGGTGTTTTAAGCCGTTTCGTCCCTTTTTTGAACACTTTTATATATTTGTCTCTAGTTTCTCTAGTTAAAAAGGTTAAATTCTAGAAAAAAAAGTTAAACTTTTCTTTGATAAATAACGCCGAGAAAATAACGTAATAAAAAAAGAAGAAGAAAAAAAATGGGAAGTTACGAAAAACTGGTGATACTGGTGATCCGGTGACAGTTGCCTAGAAACGGTTCTAAGGTTTTAACTCGGGAAAAACTTACTTGAAATTGTCACCGAAAAATTTTTTTGTCACTGGTTCCTGCAAAAAATGAAATTTTTTCTAACTCTGCGCCGCGCATGAAATTTGCACATATCCATTTTCTATCTGACTTGCGTGATGGTACCATAGAGCGAGGACGCTTTGCGTCTAAAACCAGGCCCTTTAGGGGTGACTCAAAGAGTCATATCACTATGTATTTGCTTTAACCCCATTTTGCGTCATCATCTCCAGTTTTTTTCGGTAGTATTGTTCCATTTTTCGATGCTTTCTAGCATGGATATCACAAGCGCTATGTTTAGAAAAAGTCAGTTTACCACATTCTTTACAAGGTACGCGTTTGGGAGAATTCCAGTGGACTTGACAAACTGCAGGTCTATAACAGCCCCGGTTACATACTTCTCCAGTCCTAAGTATATGGACAGCAATAAAATGCCATATTTTTTATGATACAACGATAAATCAACTATATAGTATGTATCGATTAATATATTTTGGCATTAATTTTCAATTGAACATTATTCTCCCGAATAATATATTTCGGAAGTAATTTTCATTTTGAATTATTTTCTCTCGAATCATATATTAGCAAAAAAAAAAAAAAAAATGGATACCCAAAACACTACCGAAATACAAAACATTGTTGCTTCTTGTGTACCGAGCTCGAAAATAATGGTGATGGCGGTTATTGCGCCTTTTACCACCGCGGACATAAAGCCGAGGACGTAGCTGAATATAATTATAAAATTCGCGATGATAGTGTATATCCAAGAGAATTTCTTGGTACAGATACCGAAGATGGAATAGAGGCTATACTGTCAGATCGTAGGGGGCACTCATTACATGAATTTATTGGCAGAAATGACCCACTTCACCATTTATCGATTTCGATTTACCACAAGAGACATTAAATAGTATCGAACCCAATTTACACGTAAAGAAGTGTATACTCTTCTTTGTCGTGCCTTCAAAGAAGTATGCTTGGAGGTATACCCAGATTGGGATAATCTCACCTTGGCTATTGCTGAGAGTAGTGATCTGAAAAAAAAAATGTCTCCATATCTTAACTTTTGGTATGAGACTTAAAAATATTATGGCCTGTGCTTTGTTCACCGAGCTTGTATGTAATAAACTCCCTCCATCTCTACAGAACAAGAATATGCTTGACAATATTGCTAACAAAAGATCATTCTCCTTGCGAATGTTGTGTTCGCCAAAAATAGATAAAGATTCTGGTGAACACATACGAATAAAGAAAGCATTATACCCAAAAGAAAGCACTGTTTTTTGATTTCATGATCCGTCCTCCCAACGATGAATCGCCAGTTATAGAAAGCCCTCTCTTATTTGTTCAAGAGTTGGAATCAGTAAAAATTCATAATACAGATAGTGAAACCACTGAAGCCGAATTCGAATTGGTGAAAGTGTTACTCAAAGAAGCCAAAATCGAGGGATATGATCTTTCATATCCAACTGGCACCTTTCCCACAACGTTTCCATTAACACGCACAACCTCCTCCCATTGTCCGTTGTGTGATAGAGAACATGATAGTGATAACGCATATAGGTGCGAGAAAGCCCTCATTGAAGCTTACTATTATATATTAATGGAACAGTCTTGGATCGAGAAAAAATCTCCCAAACCCAGTGAAATTAAACCGATCAAGGATTTCTGATCCAAATGACCATTTTGTATGGGGTGACTTAATTGATATGTGTACTTCCAACCAAAGTTATACACGAAATGCAGTATATGATGCAATTCAAGCAACGGTTGCATGTGTGCAAACAACATCGAGACTATGGTTACTTAAAATGGAAGATTCAGATAATGGTCTTTTCTTTGATATGGCACCAAAAATAGATCTCGCCAAATACGAAATTAATATAATTGAACTTGGGGGTGAATCAATCGAGTAATAAATCAAGCAGTTACCAAAGGTTTGATTTTTTATCGTAATGTCGATTTCTTACCATACCCGCCAAATACCCCATCACCAAATACCAAGTTCTTTAATCTTTTTCTGGGATTCAAAGCTCAACCAGAAAAAGAAATTAATCCCGCGATTATAAATCCCATTCTCTGGCATACGAAAAATGTAATCTCTAATGGAAATGAAAATCTTGATAAATATTTCTGGTACTGGTGGGCATATCTTATACAAAACCCATCTAAAAAACCTGGAACAATTCCAGTATTACGTTCTTTGCCAGGTTGTGGGAAAAATATCTTAATCGATTTTCTTGGAAAGAAGGTTTTCGGGCCGGAACTTTTCTATGCGACCTCCGATCTCGGGAAAATATTGGGACGTTTTAATAGCTGTATTCAAGGACGAAAAGTAATTGTCATGAATGAAACTGGTATGTCTAGTGGGGATTGGCATAAATACAACGATCACCTTAAATCGCTTATTACCGAAGACTACTTAACAGTTGAACGTAAAGGTATCGAACCGAAAGTCATAAAAGATTATGCCGGCTTTATGGTATTAAGTAAACATGATTCTCCGCTCCGAATAGAAATAGGTGATCGGCGTATTGTATGTTTTGACGTATCTTCTCGTTGTAAGGGTAATACTGTATATTTTAAGCGTTTAGCCAAAGTTTTGGAGCATCCCGATACACCAAATGTAGTTATGTCTTATCTCCTTAGTCTCGATATTTCAGATTGGAGTCCTGATCAGTTGCCAAATTGTGTTCACGAACATTATATCAGGCCGCTCCCCAATCGGCCTTTCCCTTTCCTATCTGCACTTGCACTACTTTGTCGCTCGGAACTAAAGGAAAAAGAAAAATTAAAAAATTTTCTTTACAAGGTAAATAATTTTCCAGAAACTTACGTGCTAACAAAAGAAGACTTTTCCAACGGGACGTTTTTTAGCGATGCCCGAATTGCTGGCACTATAACATTCGATACATAGGTGCCTTCACTGATTGATTCCACAAATTCGGAACTGAAAGCTGAGTTTTTCCATGTATCGCTCAAAACATCGACGATTACTAAAGTAACTTCTCTAAGAACGTCAACTGACTCTTTCCAGGTGCCATCGTGCGTTAACTTATTAGAAATGACCTCTATTCGGTGTTTCAAATAGGATAACACGAATTTTCTGCATTCGTCTTGAATTTCCGTAGGTAAGAAACTAGGAGCTGGTTTCTAAAATTCAGGGAGTTAAGATTTATTTTGGATATGTGTACATAAAAATTACCTACCATAAATTCGTTATATAGTTTTGTGGGTAACTTCCGTATTTTCTCCCATGTATCACTAATTACTTGGCTGGCAAGAGGGGATTTCCATGTTAAATCGGAAATAGAGACACTCTTTATATCTTTAAGCAAACGCTTATAAAGAGAAGATGGGTTCGATCGGAGCATATCCTAAATTCATATAATTAGAATTAAATCAAGATATGTGTATAATACTGTATATATTGCATCTTACCGTAAGTTTCGACACTAAATCAGTGTAATTGGCCTCGATTTGTTCTGAAGTAAGAGGTTTTTTTTTACGAAAAAATGTGTTAGCATAACAAGAATCAAAACTAGATAACTACCGTATGGTATTGACCTACCACTTTTACCGCCCCAATATCTCGTAAACTGCATATTCCATCAAAAGCGTCATCATACTGGGTGCAATAAATAAAAATTAGATCATGATCTATAACAAAAAAAAATGCATTTCTGACCAAACCCACTCCTCAGACAACAGCAAAAATACCACGTGTGGTCATCACGCAAGACGGCCTTCGCCATATCGAAGTGTCATTATTGAAACTTGCATATGGATTAGTTAAACACCCCCCACGTTTCCAAGGGTATCATACCCCCTACTCACGGGCTATGGGACGAGAAACTAATGCTAGTTTCATGAGTTGCATTTGCACCATTTTTCATTTATTTAAATTAATTGTATCCTAATCATAAATCAATACTAACCTGTGTGAAGATTCTAAGTAGTTTGTTCTGTGTAGATGTGTTGCCAGAATATATATTTAATGAAGCATTAATAGCATTATTTACTATGATTCTGGATTCTTCTTTAGAGATCCAAGGCTCTTCTTCAATAATCTGGAAAATAACTGAGGAAGCAGTTATAAGCTCCAATGGGGAGACAGTGAGGAAGTTATAGACCTTTTGGTACAATTCACTAGACATATTGATGAATACAATAACTCAGTAAAGTGTAAAGATTTAATTCACTACAACTTTACAGAAACCTGTAGTTTTTATAAATCTCTCTGTGACATCAGAATAAGATCACCACTATCTAACAGGCATCACATAATGAGATCACCATGAGGATTCTAATTTTAGTGTATCGTGAAGATAAGATGTGCCCACGAGATTTCGGGGATGCATGGAAATTTTACGAAGTTGAACAATCTAGCAAAATCTCATGACAAGATCGCCAGGATACTAATAGAAATTTAGCAATTTGTTGATAACATCACAACGAGATGTTTGCAATATTTTCTGATTGTAAATGTCACGTGGTTATCGCACAACGTCCTGCAAATCTCATCGAGACATTTTTAAAAAATGCAAGTTTCTGTAAAGTAATTATACGCGAAATTTGTATCGTATAACTCGATATTCACTCGTTTTAGTTTGCGTAATAAACATTATTTTGAAACGTTGCTTATTTGTTGCATTTTCCTACTGACAACAAAGTTACACTACCGCATGACATGAAAGCAAAAATATATTAATCGTATAAAACAAAGTAAGGTACCTTGCCCTATTATTTATTACAGTAGAAAATAGATGTTGTCATCTTAAACAATACCAAACCATGCATCGAAACAACAGGGCCAACATATTTTGGAGATTCCATCCCGTTTTCAAAAAGGGAGTGTAATAATGATAGGTTGAAATCGAAAACAAAAATATTATCAGCCATGGCATGGTTAACCAACGCGCGTATTGTATTTATATATACAGGTTATACTGTAAAATTAATGCATATTGCGCGTATTATGTGGGCAAACAAAATAATGGGGTTAATCGCATAATGTCCACCATTACTCAAGCTTCACAAATAAACCTCTTAGAGGACACTACCCAAGACCGCATTTATGTCGGTTTATAATCGTAACTTGAAGACTATGTCTTTTTGCATCATCTAATCTTGTCGTTATCTATTTATATAATTACGTTATAATAATAACTTTCCACTCGTTTAGTTTTACAACCTCGATATAAGTGGATATTTACCCACATGATACGCCCTGAACTTCTTTACAATCAAACTATCCGTTTTTGTATTTGTTTAATAGGTAACGATAAAGGTCAAGCAGTCCTGGAAAAAAAATTAAGCGTTACACGTGGATCGTTTCATTCTTATATTACAGTACAGCAGTATTACAGTATTAATGTTAAAAAATTAAGCATTACACGTGGATCGTTTCATTCATCCAATAATTTTGTTCGGCCGCAAGCGGTAGGACATCCTCACGTGGAGATTGAAAGTAAACCGTATCATGGAGCGTAAGATAAAGGAGAATAACCCAAAGACTCACAATACTTGATTCAGAACACAATAAACAGTTTGCCTTTATTGATTGTAAATGGCTTCCTGTTGGAAGAAGGAATTCTTATGTTCTAAAGAAAACACAAAAAAAAAAAACAAAAAGTTCGTAAGGAAACATTTACTGCTTTACCCCATTGTACCAGTTGACTTAAATGTCTTTCTTACCTCTGAAGATACATATTGGCAGTGTATTTTTGAGATGTATCAATATTGTCGACAAAAAGATTGATCTTGCTCACCTATGGGCATATTTATGGACAAATTGGTATGATAAGAAAAATTGGAAGCTTTTTGCTCGGTCATCCTATCCAAGAGCCATGCCTATTGTAAGAACTACAATGATCATTGAATCTCACTGACGTGTGTTTAAATATAATTACAAGCATAATTATAACAGACCTCGTCTTGATTATTTAAATTATATTATAACTGAACGCTTGGTTTCCGATACGATAAATACCTAGAGAAGATATAGAAACAAGCATTTCTGTCTTGGTGGTCAAACTTCAAAAGCGAATGGAAGGAGTGCCTTGAAAAGAATAATGAATTGTTAGAAAATTAACGCGTAGACACAGATAAATGGATCTGCTCTTGCCCAGCATATCTAAACAGCCCGTGCAAGCACTTGATACAAGCGTACGTGACTAACCATCCAAACTTTTTTCCTCAATACGCAAGTACAAGTCGACGTCATAACTATCCGTTTATCTACTTTGGATGCGAGGATATATTTAATTAACAATGTATAGAACAATGTCATCGAAAGACGAAAGGTTAAGTGGGAGATGGATAAAAAAATATAATGACGATTGTTGGGCAAAATTTTGAGAATGATAATTTTTAACAATGTATAGAACAATGTCATCGAAAGACGAAAGGTTAAGTGGGAGATGGATAAAAAAATATAATGATGATTGTTGGGCGAAATTTTGAGAATGATAATTTCTACGATAAATATAGAAGAGAAATCATGGTTTGTGATGTGATGAAGTTTTGAATGCCATAACGCAACAATCGTCTTAAACTTTTCGTCCGATCCAATAACAAAAGTAAAGTATTGTCAGCAGTCACAGGATTTGTGTTATGAAAACTTATTATCCAATACTGTGGCTAATGCGGCTTGGCTTTAAAATTAATTAGTTGCACCAACCTACCATCAGTTGATTTGACAGTGACTGGCAACAATATCTGACGAGGTCTGTTGATCACCAATAATCTGAGTGACTGGCACGAGCAGGTGCATGATCACGTTGGTAGCGTCTGTTAAGGGATCACGTTAGTAGCGTTAGTACCATAGTCATGGCGCAAAAAAGTGTCGGTCCCGTGACCTCCGACGTAGTTAACATTCGCCGACCACAACAGT